GGGTCGGCTGATGCTCCTAAGACATTGGCCGTGCACACGGATCGCCAGTTGTTGAGATGAGTGAGAGTAGGCCATGGAGGAACGGTCACTTTGTCGGCTTCCCTCCTGGAAATTCTCACCTCTGTGACTTCAGGATCCGCGTCTCCATCAGGATCACGCGCATGCGAGCCAGGATCCGATTCAGGTTTGCCTCCACCGCTTTTCTTCTTATCATCATCATCGTCAGGCGGGTCAGGAGGGTCATACCCCGTGCCGGTTCCTTCATCGTGCTCTCCATCTTCGTTCTCGTCGCCAGCCTCGTCACCGTCATCGTCTCCATTATCCTCCTGAATCGTTTCAGCGAATAACTTCCACTCATCACGATCAGCTCTGAGACGTTGTTCGGCTTTCTGGGCCTTGAGTACTTCGCTTCGCAGATCGGCAATCTTCTCCTCGTACCGTTCCGCGACCTCTTTCTCGATCTGACGTCTCCTTGCTTCATGAATGGAATCGTCATAGGCAATAGGGGGACCGATGAGGTCGTTGCCCTTCGTAGATGCGGTAATACCGTCGATACCAACAGGTCTTGAGGAGCTGGCAGATGCTGTGGACTTCGATCCCAACATCCCGCGATCCTCCAAGAGTTCGCGTAGCTGTCGATCACGCACGGCTGCCGCATCACTTTTCCCATGAAATCCGCTTGGTATGCCGAACAAAGTGGCTGCACTAGGCGTGGAACGCGCAAGTGCTGGGCTGCTAATACCTGGCACGTAGTGCTCGGGCATTGCATCCGCCACGATTGGCATTGAACTGCGGCCAGTGAAGAAGTTTCCACCGGTGAATGGAATTCCATCCATCACAAGGTTCTTGTCCTTGTCCGATTCCGAGAATGCGAACTTCTCTTTGGCGACTGGACTAACTTGACTTGGGGACCGTATTTCAGGGGATCGTACCTCACCTCCTACGGAAAATGCAGGCACTACTTCCTTTCCTACGTGCTCCCAGCCAGACTCAGTAGTCCTCGAAGACATGGGCATGCTTGAAGGCCGTGTCGCTCCTCCGTAATTGGAGTTTCGCGCTGCCTCCAATTCGCTGCGTGTCCTCGCTTGAAGATCTTCTTGTGCTTTGAGCGTTTTCCTGAGTTCACTCAGCTCGTCGTGCAAGGTAGGCAATGATCGCCTTGCATGATCTTCATTCTGATGAAGTCGGTCCTCTGCTTCTTGCATCCTCTTCACAGCCATTTTGCGGTACTCTTCCTCTTCACCAAGACGTTCGCGAAGCCGAAATCGTTCTTGATCAATGGCTGCGCTGTTTCCAGCTAGCCCTTGAATCTCGTTCACGGCCCGCAACTCCTGGTTCTTGACCAAGTGGAATCGTTCCTGCATTGCTTGTAAGGCTTGTTCCGAACTTGCTGTGTTTGACCGGAGGACCAAGTTCTCTCTGGCATGTTCATGAAGTTCATGAGTCAGACGCTCATACTCACGTGCCATAAGCTCACCATCGCCTTGCGCTCTTGCCTCCAACTGCACAAAGTTAGTGGCTGCCTCCGTGCGGAACACGTGTAGCTGTTGAGCTAACTCCTCGGCAACGGCATGTGCTTGACGTTGTTGAGCAGAGTTCTGTTCATCCATGCGAAACAAAGCTGTTTCATAGTCTCGCTTCATCTCCTGATTGACATTGTTGATGTGCCTCATGGCTAAGCATGCATGGTCACGTTGTCGTTCCAATTCTTCAATGCGAATTCCAGATCCTTCATCTTCTTGTTGCATCTCCTTGATCTTGTCCATCAGGGTCTGAACAACTCCTTCGTATTCTTGCATCTGACTGCGATAGTACATCTGCTGCGCAAGGTTAGATGCTTCGAGCTGTTGCGAAATCGTCAGTTCCTGATAGGCATTCGGACCATCAGCTATGGCAGGCGTGGCCACGGACGACGCATCACCACGTGCAGGAATCGTATCCAGAGTCATATCCAGATCGTCAGCATCGCGTGGTTGATTGGTAACCATCCGATTCCACGTCATGGATTTGTCACGCCCACGAGTAGCCGAAGTCCTCGATCGTGCTGAAGAGCTTCTCGAAGATGATGGTCTTGACTTCTTTTCCAAGGTCTTGACTCCTTTGTCCTTGGCCCTGGACGTAGTCCGAGGTGCCTGAAAACCAGACGCTTCGGCCCGTCGTTCTGAAGCCTTGCCCGTCCTCGAACCTGTGGATGTCGGACGCGAAGGCGTAGATGCTCTTGGTAGACTCTTTGCTTTCCCCTTGGGAACTGCCTTTGCAATGGCAAGCGCAGAAGATTGACCTTTGTCATCTTCCGTGGAGCTATCAACGGATTGCACCACTGTGTCATCAGCTGTTGACTCACCAACGGCTGGCGCTGCCACATCGGCACCGAAAGTCATTGTCGTATCTTGGCTTGATCCTGAGTTCATTGTGGTCGTAGTAGATCAAGTAGTCGTTGCTGTAGAAAGGCAGAGCCGCGTACGGCTGATAACCTGCGTGGGGGATTGATCTCGACTTGGTTGCTGCTCTCCCCACCAGAGCTGTAATGAATGTAGGTGTGGCTGGCTTGCACTCTCCACAGACTGGACCCTGTCTCTCCCTCTTACTTCCACACGTGCAATCCTATGCAGGCAGAACCGGCGGCCGTTCCTTTTGCACTCACTGCCGGCGGCGGTTCGTCTGTGCAACGGGATAGCTCTGATTGCTCAGGATAGAAGACACATATAGCACTTAGCTATGGGCATTGACTTGAGCCAAACGTTGCGTGGGCGGTCACATAGATAGGTAAAGATGAGGGATGCGTAGCATGCCCCCTTAGAGTCGAGGGACGCGTAGCGTGCCCCCTTCTCTTGCACTTTACACGGTCTTGCTCACAGCTCTTATAGTGACACCTTAGAACTTGACAAGGCATCGCAGTCCGTTCGCATTTAGGGTCTAGGCTAGGGTTTACGGAGTGTTTTGAAGTTGAGGTGCAGGGTTCGGGGTTCGGGGTTTCGGGTTCAGTGCTCTTCGTACCTTTTGCACCGAGGCTTAGTGTTTAGGGTTCAATGTTTACCAAGCCGAACTCAGCTTCCCGTGCCGTCTTGCCCAGGACTCCAAACCCCAAGCTCCCCAAGCTCCCGGCCAAGCTCTCTAAACTCCTGGCCGTCACCCTATACAGCCGAAGTCGCAGCCCCAAAGTTGCTAACCCAGACCTTGCTCTTTTTCGTCCCGAAAGGACACCAGGTCCTGCGATAGGGTTCTGCAAGGCGTGGGCCGGCGCTGCTCCGGGCGACCTCCCGCCGTCTGGGTTTAGGGCTTAGTTGGGGCTTTAGTTGAGGCTTAGTTGAGGGTTTAGGGCCTATGTTTAGGCTTAGTTTAGTGTTTGGGGCTTAGTTTAGGTTTCATTTCTTAGTTTGGGGTTTAGGGCTTCAAGTGTTAAAGCGCCTCTTACAAACTAAGGCCTAGAATTTAGAATCGGGCCTGGGAATGTACAAGAATTCTCGGGACTCGAAGGGCAGAGTGACGACTTGCCCTTTCTTCTTATGGAAACCCGGCCTGGAACTGCAATGGAAACTCCGTCCGTCCGTGCGTCCGTCCGTCTGTCCGTCCATGCATGCATACATACAGGCAAACTACAATCAATGTAAGCCTGTATACACATACGTGATGATAGCAATCCTGATAGGGATAAGCATAATCATACTGCCAAGACTCACCATCATCAAAACCGCAATCATTATCATAATCCATACTTGTTGCTACTTTTTAATATTAGCATCATTATCTCCATTAATGTTGCTGCGATTGTTACTGTTGCCGTAATTCCTACTACCATTACTGTCATTTTTACGATTATTATTGCTATTGTCATTACATGTTGGTCACCATTAGAACCATGAGAACGGCTATATTGTCACCATTATTTTCATCCATCTACGTATTGGTACTATTGTTCTTTTTGTTCGCATTCTTATTCATATTATCATTACAGTTGTTATGCTTGTTCTTGTTCATATGATTGTTGTTTTTGGTATTCTTATGCTTGTATTCGTATTATGTTCAATGGTGTGCATGTATCATAGTTGTGTGTATATATATATATATATATATATACGTATACATATACACACATATATATATATATATATATATATATATATACAGGTTTTGCTATTCACATAACAGCAAGAGGAAGCCAAACAGAAAGGTAAGGAGAAGCAACAAAGAAACGAGCACGCTAAAAGGAAGACGCTCGCCTCTCGCCGTGCCGCAAGCTGTGGCTGGATCGACGCCTGCATGGACCTTTGAGGGCTTCGCTGTTGAAGCCTAGACCTTCGTATGCGATCGAGGACTCAAGGGCTTGGGATCTGCATCTGACATCCCAGAGCGGTCCGGGACAGCTTCAGCGCGGGGCTTTAGAGCTTCAGGGATAAGGGGTGCTGGATTTCACGGCTCTGGGAGAGAGTTTGCCCACACCTCCTTCGCTCCCCGACACCCGGAATCCCAGGTCGCAAAGCTCAGGCCAATCTGCACAAAAAAGGCCTACATCAAGCGTCTAAGGCATGAACACTGCATGTGTGTCAGCCTCGTTCGTCAATCATGCGTGCAGCCCAGGCATGTCAAGGTAGACAGACAAACAAATAAGACTTTGCTAGGCAATAGTAAAGACCAGAAGTCCCAAAAACGCAAACCCGCGCCTTGTTCGCAGCCGAGCGAAAACTCCGCTGAGTTTCATACAAGAGCTCGAAACGCTCCGAGCCCAAGCAAATGCTGCGACAACGGAGGAGTTCAAGCGGCTTCGACAGCAGTTGTATGCTGAAAGCTCCTCCGAGTCTCAGCAGCTGCGGAAACGAATCCCCCACCTAAATCTTCGAATCGTGCAAGTAAAAACGGCCTGAACCCTTGAAGTTACCGGAACCCCCTTCTGCTTCGACGACATCACTCGATTCCAACTCCGTGACAGACTTGACTATGCTCAAAACTTGAGAATTTGTGGGTCAAACAAGTGGACCTTTGTTTTGCCAGAGCTCTCGGCGCTAGCGCCCAGGAGCGCCACATCCCATGAGAGCCATTCCACCCACCTGCAAAGCCGGCCAGGGCGTGTACTGACATGTGGGAACTGATCCACTCAATCGCAACTTGGCGCCCCTAGACCCTTAGGGTTTAGGCTTCAAGGTTAGGGTTCTGACATGTTCTGACATCATGATCGGAAACAGACATGCCGCAAACCTGGTGGCAGGCCCAAACGTCTTTGCTTTCCGACCAGCGCAAGTGACGATGCTCATGGTAACAGGACTGATACCCAACACTCAAACACGCCCTCAGCCAACTATCATAACATTTCTTGGCACAAGTGAAACCCCTCACAACGACTAATATAGGGACCTTCATAATTAGAATGGGTTGTTTTGTGGCCCCTTATTTTTGGTAATTCTTTGGGCCCCTGTATTGCAACACCCGCATTTCTTGGGCCTTCTTCAGCCGCCCCAGCGCGCGCCAGAGGTCAGGCGCAGCTTGCAGCGGGCAGCGCAGGAAGCAAGCCTGGCGGTGCTTGTTTAGGGTTTTGGGGTTTAGGGCTGAGGCTTTAGGGTTTAGGGCTTAGGGTTTAGGATTCAGATTCAGGGTTAAGTTTAGGCTTTAGGGTTCCTCAAGTGTGCTTTTTGCGTTGCACGCCGCTTCTGTTCAAGCTTTGGGTGTCGGATGCTGGGGTTCCGGGTGTACGATCTATCAAAAGGCTTTCCAACGTGTTGAGTCTGTGTTGGAGAGGGCAAGAGCCACTTAGCGCTTTAATTAGGGCTGGGGTAAGCTGAAATGCACCTAATTATGCGGTTTCCCCCCAACATGTTATATAATATAGACATGACAGACCCTCAAATGTGCCGTACATCCAGCACACAACCAGAACGCCCTCACATCTGCCACCTCGCCCCGCAGGTTGAAGAACCTCGAGAACCGGAGCAGTGGGAACAAAAAAACGACATGGAAAAGTCCTCGCCGAGCTCCTACGGTTCCTTAAACTCCTGGGGCTCAGCAGTTGCTGTTCTCTTTGGGCCCATGCATCGTTGAATATCCCCCCGTCCCTTGCAAACCCGGATTGGATGAAACTGAAGCCGGAGACCTTGGGCCCAGAGCCACTCTCTTCTATAAGCTAATCCCCAAAAGGAACTACTATACCCTACCTTAACCCTGAATAACCTACCTTTTTGAGGTTCCTTATTATGATTTCCATAAGTCTTTAACAAGGTAGGCTCTCCCAAAACAAGGACAGTCTGCCGGGGCCCCGGCCCGATCCGGATCTTGTGAAGGAAGAGCCGAGGGCAGAAGTCCTCGGCTGTCGGTTTCGTGCATAAATGGAAGCCCAGGAGACTGGACTCATATGGGGGGCCTCAAAGATTAGCTATACTATTTTGGGGGTTCCTTCTTATAGTTACAATATAATGGGCCCCAAAACCCCAATTCTAATTCTAAAGGCCCCTGCATTACATTTCAGATGACTGCTTCTGGTTTCCTTCCGAACCCTCGAACATCCTCAAAGGCACAGTAACAATTAGAGCAGCAGCAAGATTAGCAGCGTGGTTCCGAAAGCCTGAGTAACCCCTAACAGGTCATCTACGTCATGAACAACTGCACCCCGGTGCTGCCTAGACCTCCTCGGAGAGCAACCACGCCCTTGATCTGGCATGCGTGTACTCCGGGTTTAGGGTTTGGGGTTTAGGGCGGTCATCCTTCCAAAGGAGACCCAATGCGAACACCTGAGCAACCCCCTCCCTAGCCCAAGCCCTGAATCGTGAACCACTCGCCTTACCGTTTGCCGGGCTTCTGGAATGCTCCCTGGAGCGTAGAGGCCGTCACCCACTAGCCTGGCGAATATAGAGCCAGTAACAACAGGGTATTGGGGGTATATGACAGTGTAGTAAGCGCACAGCCTATTTACAATCACAGACTATTCTCCCTGGGCGTGAACGGTCGGTGGTTTCAGCAAGACCCATGCGGTCAATAGGGATTACCTTACAAGCCAACGATCACGCAGAAAACAACGGAAAGGAACCGAGATAGTGAATATCAGTCAGGAGAGATCTACATACCAGAAACCCATCGGCCCCCTAGCGCAGAGGATGCTTCATCGCGATGACCCGTTCCACAACTACATCGTTTAAGGCGTTTGAGGTTTTGGGGTGTACTGTACGGTAGGGCTTCGGAGCTTCACGGGTTTAGGGCGAGGGTGACTTTCTGGTTCAAAACCCAAGAAGCGATGCGAAAGCGGGACAGGGCGGACGGGTGGCCCAGGTGCTTCATGTGTGCCCTGAGCTGGTGGGTCCTCGCGGATGTCGAGGCTGAGGGCGCTCTTGTGAATGACAGAGGTCGCACTTCTGAGGAGTTACTTTGGAGCTCCCTTCATCCGGAGATGCAGCTTCTGGACTGAGGCTCACAGTAGTGCAAGTTTTAGTCTTTGCTTTGCTACGCTTTGCTGGGGAATGCACTTAGGACACGTGTTCGAACAGCCCAGGCAAGACAAGACGCAACCTTTGACGATAGACAAGACCAAGGAATTCAGGCATGGTACCCTTACAGATCCCTTATAGATCCCCTACAGTAAGTAAACCCTTATAGATCCCTGATTGCAAACCCTTATAGGACCCCTTGTAGGAACCCTATTCTAATTGTTAAGGCTCCCATATTATAGTACCCTTATAGACCCCTTAAAGCTCTCGAGGACTCAACATCCAACACCACAACAACAAACTTTGACATGGGGTCCTCGACATGAGAATAAGTTCGCCTCAGTTGCAAGGTCCGGTGGTCAAGGAAACTTGATGCATCTTCCAGTTTATTCCCGCGCACGCCTGCACGCTGTTGGTGCTTCATATGTGCTTCTGGAGTCCCGACTGAGGCAGCTACAGCCACCAGACTTAGGCCTTAGGCGCGAACATGCGCAAACCCTACAAAAGGCATCGCCTTGAAGCAAGCAGCGAAAGCTTTACAGACCAAGCCTTGGTCTCAGCTGAGGGCCGCCACATAGGCGGCTCAACGCGCACATGAGTTGTAGAATTTGCAGTTCGTGGCTGTGGTGTAGATGTCGCCAAACCTGCTTGGGCAATGAGTAGCGTAGCACCAGCCATTGCCGCCATCCCATGGAGTCGGCCTGCGGCAGCCCCCTTCGGAGGCCTCCACCATCCCACCCTCCTCCTCACCCTCCTCTTGCAGCAGCCTTGCTCCGGGCAGCTGACAATTCCGGAAATCGCTGCAGCTCCTGACGGTGTAGATGATAGCACGGGTTCCCGGGCATCTGCTCTTGTAGCAGTAGCGGCGATCCGGCCCAGAGATTGGGTAGGCCCCACCACAGCTCGCCGTGACGTTGTCCTTCGTCAGCTTGGTCACCTGCTGGCGAACCTGCATGGCATTGAGAGCACAGGCCTCGCTGCCCTCACTGTCCTCGCACTCGTTGTCGACTTCCAGCACATTATTGGCCAGAGCATACATGGAGCAAGCGCACAATGCGACCCATGTCCAGGCTGCCACCATTGCAAAGTGACGCTGACGAGAACTGGATGAGAACTGGATGCCGGGCAAGAAATGCTGCGCACAAATGTTGCCAGATAGAACCCTTTAAAGGATCCCTTTCAAGCAACCCCTATCCTAATTATTAAGGCTCCTATACTAGCCCCGAGTCCTGAGTGTCACCATGCGGCAATGTAGCAGCGAGAACCTGCCGAGAGCTCGTCCTACAGATGCAAAATCTTGCAGAGATTTTGGGTTTAGGGTTTAGGGGTTTAGCGTTTCAATTTAAGTGCAGTGGCGTCTTTCTGATGCAGCCCAGATGTTAGCGTTTAGGGTTCAGGGTTCTCGGGTTTAGGGGTTCAGGGTTTAGAGCTTTAGCTGGGCCGCAAAACCCTGAACCCGAAATCACCCCCGAACCCCCTAGCCCAGCTCTTGAACGCCCGGAACCCAAGTAGAAATATCTACTATGACTTGAACTTCTGGGTAACTATAACTACTTGACGTTGCAGCTCGTAACTGAAAACTTGAGCGTTATAACCGAAAACACCTTAGCTATACTCCATTACCCATCACTTGATAACGTACAAAATCTGACTTAGAACCTGGACTGTGCCTTCTGACTATAACCAAAACTTGTGAGGGAATCGCTTCTGTCACTGACTTACGAACAGAACTACTGCCTCTCGCGCGTCTCCGGGGACTGGTACTCGGCGAGCACCTTAACTTGAATTGGCGGGGAGGGCTCTCGGTTTGGATCTGTGGGTTCGGAAAGGATTCTTCATAGGTGTGTAGAGATGTATAAGTATTTATAGAGGTTGTATATGAGGCGAGAACCGACACCTGTGCCCATGCATGGACGCATACATGCAGATGCAGACTCAAGGGCGAACGAACTTTGCTTACATTTAGCAGTGACAAAAGGCATATACAAGACAAACAAGCCGACAACCAAACGAGACGAGGTTCTCGCAGACAGGTGCGCACGTAAGCAGGCACACACAGACAAAGCAGCCCAAGGAACAGCACAAGAAGAAGCCTCAGCAGCAGATGATCGCAAAGTGACTGGCATTGCCGTTATAACACACGAAGACTAAAACCTACTTTCATATTGCTTCTAACATACAGTAACGAGCTTTGAGGTATGCTTCAGGAGATCCGGCTGTGGACACAGCGATCTTCAGTCCCGAAACCTGAGGCCCAGAACATCAGAAATCCCGAGCCCATAAATCCGGCACGCCAGACCCCCAAGCCCCCAAACCCCCAAAGCCAAAGACCCCCAAGCCCTAAACCCCTAAACCCCCTAAACCCTTAAAACTATAATAAACCCCCCTAAACCCTCAAAGCCCTAAACCCCCCCCCCAAACCCTCAAAACCCTAGCCATCGGCCTCCCAAACCGTGGAGGCAGCCTGTCCTCCGGCGTCGACACCTCTCAGTGCCCGGTGCGGAAGGTTGTAACATAGAATGGGCCTTGAGCATTGGAATGGGGTTTTGGGGATTCCTTATCATAACTATAGAACGTATACCCCAGGCCCTGTTCTAATTCTTAAGGCCCCTCCCTACATTAAGGGTAGGGTTTAGGGTTGACCGTAGTGCTACGGGATCTGAGGGGCTTTCGGGTTGTCTGCGCCTAAAGTGAAAAGGACGAAGCTGCAGCTTCGCGAGTGCTCGAAACAGATAAGTTTTTCAGTTCCGACCATAGGAATCTAAGCACACGGGACCCGCATGACCTGCCAGCATGCATGAACTAACATATATACATGAGGATGCAAACATCCACTTGTCTCGACGTGTGGATGCATGATTTCCTCGTGCTCCTCCCCTCCATCCGCCACTCTGAACTCCAAACACAGCCAGGAGCCGGGTGTAAAACTCGGGTCTCGCGAAGCCTCTTTTCCATCCTCACCGCCCGGCGCGGCGTTGAGAAGTTTAGGGTTGAGGGCCTAAGGACGAAGCCCATGAGAACATGCTATAACGTACTATGTTAGACTAAGGCCCCTACGTAGTCTTCCCGAGGAACCTCTACAGCTTGCAACAACGAAGCCTTCATGCACACCACCACCCTAACGCCTCAATCCTAAACCCAGCACCATCAACTCTTAACCTGTACATTCTAACCTCCTTACTCTGAACCTCTCGAGGACTCAACATCCAACACCACAACAACAAACTTTGACATGGGGTCCTCGACATGAGAATAAGTTCGCCTCAGTTGCAAAGTCCGGTGGTCAAGGAAACTTGATGCATCTTCCAGTTTATTCCCGCACACGCCTGCACGCTGTTGGTGCTTCATATGTGCTTCTGGAGTCCCGACTGAGGCAGCTACAGCCACCAAGAGACTTAGGCCTTAGGCGCGAACATGCGCAAACCCGACAAAAGGCATCGCCTTGAAGCAAGCAGCGAAAGCTTTACAGACCAAGCCTTGGTCTCAGCTGAGGGCCGCCACATAGGCGGCTCAACGCGCACATGAGTTGTAGAATTTGCAGTTCGTGGCTGTGGTGTAGATGTCGCCAAACCTGCTTGGGCAATGAGTAGCGTAGCACCAGCCATTGCCGCCATCCCATGGAGTCGGCCTGCGGCAGCCCCCTTCGGAGGCCTCCACCATCCCACCCTCCTCCTCACGCTCCTCTTGCAGCAGCCTTGCTCCGGGCAGCTGACAATTCCGGAAATCGCTGCAGCTCCTGACGGTGTAGATGATGGCACGGGTTCCCGGGCATCTGCTCTTGTAGCAGTAGCGGCGATCCGGCCCAGAGATTGGGTAGGCCCCACCACAGCTCGCCGTGACGTTGTCCTTCGTCAGCTTGGTCACCTGCTGGCGAACCTGCATGGCATTGAGAGCACAGGCCTCGCTGCCCTCACTGTCCTCGCACTCGTTGTCGACTTCCAGCACATTGTTGGCCAGAGCATACATGGAGCAAGCGCACAATGCGACCCATGTCCAGGCTGCCACCATTGCAAAGTGACGCTGACGAGAGCTGGATGAGAACTGAATGCCGGGCAAGAAATGCTGCGCACAAATGTTGCCAGACCCACACACGCACGCACACACACACACACACACTTTTACACTTACTTACTTTGCGGGCTTTGTCCACGCTAACTGCAAATGCATGGCCTCTGCCTACTCTTCTGCGCCTCTGCTCAGACTTCTTTTGCGAAATAAGAGTGCAGTAGGCCTTGTCATCCAGTGCTGTGCTGATGGTCTTGACGGGGGTGGCGGCGGGGGGGGGGGGTGCGTGGGTGGGTCAATCAGCCCTGCAAAAATAGCGACCGGAAGCAGCTCCTGCCCTGGAGCCGAGGTCCTGGCAGACCTTGCCAGTCTCCAGGTAGGTGCTCCTTCAGGCATTGGCCCAGGTTTTTTTTTTGTTTCAAGGCCGAGTTTTCGTCTGCTAGCCCAGGGGTTTAGGGTTCAGATGCTATGATATGCCACAATAGACTACAATGGACTATGATAGACTATAGTAGACTAGAACAGACTGCAGGATGCTATTGGATAATACAGTATACGATTATGTACTACAATACACTGTAACTCATGCCTTCAGGTTGAGTTCCATGGGGTTTTGCAGCGCCTGGACTAGGGTGTTGTGCACTGGCTAAGCTGAAGTAAAACCAACCACCTCCCGCCTTGAACATAGCAGCCTACCGTTTGCTGGTACTAGATCAGACCTCTTCCTTATTATTGTATACTTTCTGCCTTTTAGTATCTCTTGATATCTTGTAGTATGTCCTAATATCTTAGCCGGGCGCGGGATTCAAGACGTACCTTGGCTTTAATCAAAATACAGAGGCTTGTGGTGTGTACAGGCGATTTTTATCGGAATCGGGTGTTTACCATAAGATCAGGGGTTAATCTCAAGTATGTAGGCCCCGCACCCGGCATAGGTCTGTTTGGTAAGTCTTAAGTGCCGTGTCATTGCTCAGTTGTTTGTGTTTCAGGGGTTGTAATTAAAAAAGGCAATAGGACGGCTTCATCGAAGCAAAACTTGTGTGGAGGCTGTAAGGCCCCGAGTAAGGTGGGAAGTGCAAGGAAATCTGCACTTTGCAGACACTCAGAGCGAAACAGGGGCGTCTTGAATATCGCGCCCGCCATATCTTGCAGTGCGTTTGAGCCTTTTTTGGCACTTTTTGGCATCTTATCCTATCTTGTAATACATCCCTAAACCCTAAACCCTAAACCCTTAGCTTCTAGATGGAACCCAGCTGCTCACGGCTTGCCCGGCTCTGGGCCGCCCACGTGTCGATGGCCAAATGGCATTCCCCGCGCACCCTGCCAGCGGCCCACGGAGAGAAGCTATACGATAATATACTACTGCAAAAATGAACTCGTCTATAGAAATATGTACATATATATATATATATACAGCAAGATATACTATTATCATAAACATGCTAATAAGTATGCTGTATTATACTACGGTATGCCAAACCATGGTGTCATGTATTTTTTCCAAGCTACTTTAGTATACTATATAATACATGCTTCCAGTCGGCAAAGAAGGCTTGTACTCGCTGGTGCTGGGGAGAGGGCGCGCTTTACCGCTGCCTCTTTGGACTATCCGGGCAGGGGCCTCCAGGAGTCAAAATCTTCCTGAGTCTCTCAACTGCGATAGCTAGCAGTCACATGAACAAGTAGACGACTGTAACATACTATAACGTACCATAGAAAACTCTACGACACTATGCTGTAGTTTACTATCATAAACTACCATATACTACCATATGCTATTGCCAAAGCATACTGTAGTATATTAACACTCCTCGTCATCATCATCACAACCACCATCATAATCGTCATCAGCATGCGGAGCATTAACAGTGTTGTCATGGCAACCAGTCGTCATGTTCTGGCCGCTGTGATGAGCAGCATGCAGTCGAGCTGATCATATCTAGAAGTCTATAATCCATGTGATGCCATCATGATGCATCTGCTCCCTAAATTCTGGATTGCTTCGTGCAGTCCTTCCTCTGGCTGCCCTGCTCCACTCTAGCTATGTGTCTGACAACGAAAGCATGGTAAGGGCAGGGATCTTACTGCAGCATTCAGGTTGCCCTGAGTCTTCTTGCTTGAGCTGCTGGTGTTCTAGGACCGGAAGGATGAAGAAAACCCTGTCGCCTTTCCGGGGCGAAGCCGCCGTGCACGAGGGCCACATAGTCCTGAGAAAAGTCGGGCTAAATCACCACAACAACAACAACCACCACAACCAGAAGGAGAACAACGAGGAAGCGCACCCACAAGAAACTACGAACGGAGAAGGAGGAGGTGCACCCGCACACTGCCAACGCGAAGAAGCAGAAGAAGAAGGTGCACCCGCAGCAACAGCAACAACAACAACGACGACATGAAAACACCCGCCCACTGCCAAGAAGAAGGTGAACCTGCACGCTGCTAACAATAAGAAGAGAAAGGAGGCGCACCCGTACAATGCAACCAAAAACAAGGGGAAGAAGGTGCACCCGCACACTGCCAAGAACAACAACTGCAGCAGCAGAAACAAACAATGGCAGCAGATCGCAGCAGCACCTGCAGCACCAATAGCACCAGCAGCGGCAGCAGCAGCAGCAGCGGAAGCAATAGACATACCTTCGTCATCAACATTAGCACCAGTGCCATCATCACCATCATCGCCACAAAGATGTGAAGACTTGACCAAACACAGAAGTGTGCAATTCAAACTACATAGCAGTCGTGTCTTCAACCAACTAGACGTCATCGCCGACCTCATCATTCCCACCAACACCCCACAATCTGCACCGCCAGCATGAAGACTGAATTGTCATCATCGCCGTGGTCGTCGTCAACACTATCGTCAGCACGGTCATCATCAGCCTCATCAGCAGCAGCAGCAGCAGCACCAGCATCCGCATCCGTGTCCGCCTCCGCATCGCCATCGACGTCGTCATCAACATCAGCCTCACCTGCATGGCATCGTCATCAACAACTAGACTAAACGGCTAAACGCACTTTTTCCGATTCCCAACTTTCGTCCTTGAGCACCCCGAGAAGGATCTGGTTCCGCGCATGCTCGTAGCCCTGTGATGTCAAGGGTTGCGGGTGGCAGCAGGCTTCGAATTCGTCACGATGTATGTATCTGGTTTTTGTTGAGAGCATCCCTTTTCTAGGTGAAGGGGTTTAGAGGTTCGGCCGCCTTTTCGGAAGCTCTCACTTGCATCCCAGACCCTAGGCCGTGCCTTGTAGGTCTTGCCCACCAACATCGGACCGGACGTCTCCACCTCGTCGACTTCCGAGGAGCTGCGGGTGGGGGGAGAGGGTATGGGGTTCCTTTAAGGGGAGTAGCAGTACTATACGGGGACTATCAAGGTACCAAGGGCTGGGGTTTAGGGTTCAAGGTTTGGGCTTGACCCCCAAACCCTCATTTTTGTGGCCCTTGCTTGATAGTACCCTTCTTGACCCCTTATAGAACCCTTTCAAGGATCCCTTTAACGGGACCCCTAGTCCAATTATTTGTTCCCTAACGAAACTGCCGCCCTGCGGCGTCCAGCCGGTGAACGAGGCCCCGGTCGAGGGTCCTCAGTGGGAGGTATGCGTTGACTGCGAGCCGAGGGTGTTTGGGGGACAGGCCCCTTCAAGGGGGCCTATGAGTTCGGGCCTAGGGGACTCAATGGGTTTAGGGCTTCAGGGAGCTTATGAGTTCGGCTTAGGGGTTCAGGGCTTCAGGGGGCTTAGGAGTTCGGGCCTGGGGGACTTAAGGAGTTCAGGGCTGAGCGCTTTGCGTTTGGGATTCTACGGGGGTCCGAATTCGGGGCTTGTGACTATATGATCCCGATCAAACGGGAACTCTGGGATTGGCGACGTGGTACCCTACAAACCCAACGTGATGCCTGTTGACTAAAGCTCCACCTGCTGAACTTTGACAGTAGGTCCCCAACACGGAAGGACCGTATAACAGCAAGTACCGCATACACACACACACACACACCCCTCGTGCAATCTCGGGTGGACTCCACACTCACCTGGGGACCAGCACGACCAGGGGGCCAAGGACCACTACGACCAGGACGACGAGCACCAGGCCACCACCAAAAGACCACCAGGAGACCCCAAGAGAATACCAGGTGAGACCACCAGTACATATTACATTAGATCATACATCGTATGTATTTGATGATGTATAGTATATAGACTGTAATTCCAAAGCCAAAGAATTGAAACCTGAAACGCAATATCGGGCGGAGGCTTGAGGGGTTCTCGGTTTATTGTGCACTTGGCTCAGGCCTCTTGAATGAGGCGACTGCCTGGAATATGGGAATTTAAGCTTTGGAAGCTTCGTAGGTGCTCTCTGTGCTTGCATACCCAATGCCGTATATCCTCAAGCGTATGTCTTGCACTCTCCTCCACCCTGCAACTTGCGAAACCCGAACTGGAGCTCTCATCCCATCCCCCCACCAGCCGAGCAAAGGCGCTGGTCCCTGCAGACATCACAGGCCGGATCGTGTCCGAACCTGGGAAGCAGGAAGCACGGAACACGAATACTATAGGGGCCTTAGTAATTAGAATAGGGCTATACTATAATTTTGAGAAGGAACCACCAAATTAGTATAGGTAGTTATTACGGCCGCTATACTTGTCCGGGCCTGTCTGCTTCCCAACAAGCAGCTGTCGATGCTTTGTGGTAGGAAAGATGGCTGCATGAGGACAGTTGCGTCGTCTGCCTCTTGACACTTCTGGTCCTAAAACGGGGCACTTCTCACAGTTCAGGGTTCAGGGTCTCACATATGGCATCTTGCTACCACAGTAGCAGGCATGCACCAGGGTTGCAAAATTTGGAGTCTAGGAATCGGTACAACTGCGGCTTTCTCTGTTGTCTCTGTCTTTCACAACATCGTAAATGCGCGGAGCCGCCCCAAACACCCCAAGGCGCCGGCTGCAGCAGCAGCCAGCCTTGCAAAGGCGCCGCCGACTCCTCTGCAAGGCTGGAGTGGCGGCGGTGCTTCTCAGAACCGGCCCCTCAAGGCTGCGAGCAATGGCTACCACACTTGACAGAAAATCATCCTAATGAAATTCAAGAGAAAAGTAATCAGAATCATCATCATCATAATCGATTTCTTTGACTCGACGCTGGCCGTCGTCACTGCCGTCGTCCTCGTCCTCATCGTTAGTTATCAGCAGCAACAGCAACAGCACCACCACCACCACCAAGCAGCAGAAACGGCAGCCCTCTCCGCCAGTTTCGAGCTTAAGGCCCTGCGTCCGCCCAGAAGCACCTAAATCCTAAAACGATCCCTCAAAAACCGTACATTAGAAACCACTAAACCCTTAAACCCGAAATAGATCCCCCTAGAGAATGTTCAACAGATCGACCCAGAAACCTGGTGTTCTTACGGCCGACAGACCGGAAACTACATCCAGAGCCCGTCCTACTCTAGGGCCTAAAACAAGACTGTAACAAAATCAAGAAACCCCCAAAATGTATAGCCTATAGCCAGTTATAAAGGCCTCCGTATGACACCCACACACCAAAAATTCCGAAGCCGAAGTCTGCTGTCCGCTATCGGCCTGCGCCAGCAGCTTCCCGGCGCGCACCCGCCGCGCCGCCGGCGCCAGCCACACCCAGGAGGGATCAACTCCCTGGAGATGGACGGGGGTTCTTGAGGATAAACACACCACGACTCTCTCGAGTGTTGACCAAGAAGTGAATGCTTGGGGTTGGAGGCTGTGATATCTGCGATGTGTCCAGCTAAACTGTCCCTTGGGCGGTCTGCATCACCCACTTTGCAACTTTTGTCTGCGCGACCAATCAGTGACCATCAGCATTCAGCAGCCAGCGGCATCCCACAATGGCAGCGATTGTGCGGATAGGATGATTCTAGATCCACATCCCCGACAACAAGACCCTGTGTACGTCGCGGGGCGCCTCCGGTTGAGGCGTGCAGGACCACCCAGATGGTTTCAAAACCACTGCCATGTCCTCGTCCTGAGCTCTCGGAACAGCACCGGAAAGGGCAGAGAGAGAAATTCACCTTTCGCGTCCTCAACCAGCCCCTCCCCCCCCCCCCGAAATCCAAAATCCCAGTCCCTGGGCGCCTCAACCACCGAAGCCTAAACCTCCAAACTCGAAGACCCCAGATTCCCAGATCCCGAACCCTGCACCGGCCTCATACAGCAATTGTGGCTCCTCCCTGCGCCCCGCAGCGCTAGCATTGGATGCCTCCGAATTAGCTTGAGAGCACTGGCTTTAGGATCTGTGGCGGTTGTGCTCTTTGGGTTTAGTTAGGGTCCTTGGCACTGAAGGGCCCGCGAAGTTTGCTGGGAATCTGCCGGCAGTCGCAGTCGAAAGCCAAGGCAGATAGACGAGCTTGCCGTCACCCATCTTCTGCACCTCTGTCGCCGCAGCTGCATCAACAGTTGTTATCGTCCATCATCCTCAGCAGCATGGGAGTAGCATCGTCGGTGTGGGATGGTCAACAACATCATCGAACGCATAATTCATGGCATTAAGCTGAGGCACGGGAGCCCATCGCAGAAAGTGACTCAACTGCCATGTCTTACTCAAGGCTATCGACTATAAGCGGCAAAGTAGAAACTCTCAACACAAAAGCTAGAGCCCAGAATTGGAGGCCTAAACGAGCAGTATCGTGCAACCCAAAGTCCGTGGGAAACCAGAGGCATGTGCTTCTCCTGTGGGCGACTGCATCGAGGAGCGGTACTAGGTGTACCAAGCACGAATTTAGAGCTTACGACGAGCCCATACACAAACCCAACCCCTCCCCCAGGTCAAACCGAAAGAGCGACCACTGAAAGCGCTAAAAAAGAAGAACTGCCAACAGCAGGCCTTCAATTCGGGAAGCCCCTGTGTGCTGAAGAAGGACCGGGCATGGATGGCCTCAAAAAGGCGCTAAAGCTTCGGGCACCTCTTTCTCGGGGTCTCGGGATAGGCTTTGGGGCTTAGGGTTAGCGCTTTAGGGGTTTAGGGTTTAGGGGTTTAGGGTTTAAGGGTTTAGGGTTTTTTTAAGGCTGCCATGCGCTCCCGACTGTACATTGCAGAAAGCGGAGTAATTCTGGCTGGCGCGTCGGCGCAGCTACCAGGTGCGATGTAAAGGCGGGGTAGGCTTGAAGAAGCTGTTTTAACCCTAGGAAGTCCCTTCTGAAGTCCCTGTACTGGTTCGGGGCGGTGTGGTCCAGGTAGTGGTGGTATACTGGTAGGGCTCTCTCTACTTTTAACTCAAACCAATAGCGGCAGGGGTGGCCTCTATGCTTTGATTTGGTAAATTTAACTCTATCCTTGTAACCTGGTGAAAAGACGACGTGATGTAGTGGGTTGTTAGGCGGTTTAGCCAGGATGTCCACGAGTTGTTGGATTTGTCGGGTGAGCAGGGTCTGGGACGGGAGAGGCGGTTTACCAGCTACCTTCCATACCCGTTCGTTGGTAACATGTGAATAAAACGAAGCTTTAACTCCGATACATCTTCTTAGGTACCTATGGAACCAGGCGTCAATGGTTTTAAGGTGTCTGTTTTCCAGGGAAAGGACTTCGAGGCCATACAACAAAACAGGAATTATGCTAGCCATGAAGATCTTGACCTTGGTTCTGATGTTGATTCTGCTGCGCCACAAATTTTGGAGTTTAAGATATGCAACGTGGCTTTTATTTTTGCGCGCTTCTATAGCTGTTTTGGTGGGGTGGCTCCAGGATACTTGGGTTCCGAGATATTTGGCTTCTTCTGCATTAACTACAGGATCTCCGTTGACGTAGTGTATGTTTCCTGGGAGTGCCTGGGGATGGGTGAGCAATTCTGTTTTGGTTAGATTAAGAGATAAGCCGTACAAAGAAGACTCTACTTGGATAGCTCGAAGAAATTCTTCAGCTTGCGGTTTAGTCACAGCGATCAATAGTGTATCATCTGCGTACTCAAGATCATAAATTGGCTTGCCTACAGACCAAGTATTAGTAGGTACCCCGTGCGTGCGCAATCTAGCGTCTACATCGTGCATCAATACGGTCATGACCATGATAAATAAATATGGACTCAGAGGGCATCCTTGGCGGATACCCGTGTGCGGTTTAGCCGTTTCCTGTGCGCCCTGCATGCCAAGTGTATTGAAGGATTGGCCTGAATAAAGGTCCCGGATAATATCTACGTAGTGGCGGTGTACTCCGAGGCGTTCAATGGCTATGCACATTGATTCGTGGTCTACCTTGTCGAACGCCATTTTCCAGTCGAGAAGAACTACATGCATGGGCTGTCCGGTTTTGAGTGAGTAGTCTTGTAGTCTCCGGAGAATAAAGAGCGGCTGCATTGTGCTCCGATTTGCGCGAAAGCCGTATTGTGTTTCCCTAAGTACGTGATCATGGGCGGTTGCTAGGCGGCGTTGTAGTAGCGCTGCGTATACTTTGTAAACTACGTTAAGGAGGGATATCGGCCGGTAAGAAGCGGGGTCTGAGTCGTCGCCCTTGCCTTTAAAGATGCTGACTATATTGGCTTCTTTCCACGCGTCCGGGACTGTGCGCGTGACAAAGCAGTGGTTAAGAACCTTGAGAAGCTCGGCTTCTACTATATAGTCCAGTAGCTTTAGAGTTTCTGCAGGTAGGCGGTCTGGTCCTGGGGCTTTGTTGCGCTTGAGGTCCTTTATCACATCCGTTAGTTCCTGAGTGGTGAAAGGCAAAGGGGGTTGCGTTGGCGGTGTAGCCAGTGGCGGTGAATCTTTGAGCAATTGCCTTTCTTCCGCGGTGACCGTAGTGGGGCCCCATTGTTGTGTACTGAGGAAGTCAGCGAACACTTTGTGGTTTTCCGACCATGGTACCGGTGTGCCATTGCGTTTTAGCCTAGACTTGCGCTCCCTAAATCCGCGTTTGAAGGTTTTGACGACTCGCCAGAGTGAGGTATGTGATTCTGCGTTGGCCTGTGAGACTTTATCCCTCAGCCACTGTCTTTTGTGTTTGCGCGCCTTTGCTTTTAGGCGTTTGTACGTATCCACCGCTGAACTACCGTGCGCTGCGCGTAATCTCTTAGCCGTTTGGAGTTCCTGCGCTAGCTCGGGGGTGATCCAGGGATTGCGTGGGCGACGTTTGAGCATGGGGATGGTCTGTTTTTCAGCCTCCAGGAGGGCTTTAACAAGATCCTGCGGATTGTTAGTAGGGTCTGGTGGGCGACCTTCAGCCATAGTTTCTATCTGCGCTGGGGTATAAAGCGGGGAGATGGCGTGTCGACCTCCTTGCGGTGTACCTTGGGTCTTGCCTTGCTCAGCTAATTTGTCGGCTTGTTCGTTGCCTGCGTTGCCTGTGTGTCCCTTTACCCATTGCCAATGAACGTTTGATCGGCGTTGTACCGCCTGGTAGATTTGTTTGGCTGTGCGGACCAGAGCTTTGTGTCGTTTGGCTTTAAATTTACCTGTGACCATATGCGCTGCCCATTGGCTGTCATAGTGAAATGTGACGCGTTCCGGCGGTGTACTCAGAGCTAAGAGATAAAGTGCTGCTTCCATCCAAGCGGAAAGTTCTCCTGTGTTGTTGCTTCCAACTGTTGCTCCTAGGTAATTGGCGGAGTACTCATCGGTTTCGACTGGCCCACATGCTTCTGTGGACCAGCCGTCCTGATCTTCTATGTAGATGCCCCACCCCGCCGGTGTAACACTAGTGCACCGACCTCGGGATCCTGAGCCGTCTGTGTACACGTCCCAGCACGCATCGGAGTTGGATTGGGGGGGCTCGTCTTCTTTGAGTTTTAACTGTTGTTTTACAACTCGGTTGAAATCCTGACGCATACTGTCGGTTACGGCGGAGTAATCATATTTAGGAGCGGGGACGTGCCTAGGCATTTTACCCGAAAGTTTAACCCTGAGCTTAAGAGTGAGAAGATAATGGTCACTGGGGAAACCCGTATAGTGCTGTGCTCCGCATTTGCGCACGGTCGGCAACCATTTTCGGGAGGTGACGCATCTATCTAAACTCTGAAACCTGTAGGGGTCTACTTGCGGTTTAGCCAGCGCTGCCGGGGGCAGCGTGTCTGCGCCCAAATACTGTCTGATGTCGGCAACTATCTGAAGCTGTTCGTCCTGTAAGAGCGGTGTAGCCTGGAATTTATCCCATACGTGTAGCCAGCCTAGAGGGTCAAGAATGAATTGATCCCAGGAGTCTGGTGGGGGATGTTTATCCCTGTATGTAACATGCTTGAGTAGATTTGATTGTTTAAAGCTGAGGACGTCGACTGCCGCGTTACCCTGTAGCAGCTGAGTGTAATAGTGTCTGTTGGTTCCTGGCAGTTGCTTGATAGCTTTAGCCCCCTTGCCGTAAATGTGAGGACCAAGTATTCCGTGTTCCGAAAGAAAGCGACCCTGCAGTCGTACATTGAAGTCCCCTACAATATAGTATGGCTCTGGTTGTGGAATTTTAGAAATGGCATCTTCTAGCTTCTGCCAGAATGGGGCCTTTCTTACTTCGTCGTCAGATTTATCGTGTGGTGCATATACCCCGAAAAGGTGAACGTCACCTGATCTACAAGCTAGTATAATCTCGAGGATTCTAAAGGAATGCTGGATGACTGTTTTGAGATGCGGTATAATCTTGGGGGTGAGTACTGCTGTGACTCCGGACCACTTATCCTTGGGATTGCCGTTGACTATGAAGAGGTGTGCTTCAGATTGGAATGTGTAGTAGGATTTGGAGTGTGTTTCAGTGAGGAATAACACTTCTAAGTGCTTTTCCTTCATGAGTTGTAGGACTTCCTGATGTTTGAAAAGTTCAGCCATACCCTGTACGTTCTGTGTACCTATTGAAAGAGTCTCACCATAAGCTATGGGCGGAGTAGCCAGCTTTAATTTATGGTGGGGGTCTCTTTTCCGTGGGTGGGACTGTTCCAAAACTAGTCTTCTGAAAAGTTTGGCTCTGGTTGTTTTTTCGCACCTTTGAGCTGCTTTCAAGGGAATCCCCTGGTTCACCGAAGGTTTACCCAAGACCTTAGGCGGTATAATTCCTCCCGAGAGCCGGCGCCATTCTACAGGCGTCTGCGTTGGCACCTGGCCCTGGAACCTCGACCTTTAGGAGGACTGTTCAGGGGAAGTTGAGGTTTGCACTCTTCGTTTGTCACCGAGGTGACACCCGGCGTGCCTCGTTGAGGCGGTGCTGGACTGTTAGCGGGGGAATTATGAATTACACGAATTCGGTTGTGGTTGGGTTTTACTCTGCGCTTAGAGCGGAAGAGTTTTGAACCCGAGGCGGTGAGAATGTCGACCCTATCTCCTGTGCGCTTGACGCGTTTAAGAGGTTGTAGGGTTGGGGGGGTGAAATCGGCGGTGTAGCCCGGCGTTCTCATTCCTAAAAGCGCGCTCCTTGAAAGTTTGATATGACTAGAGAACAGTTCTTCAATGTCCATGGCGTGCTCTGCGTCTGGGTAGTTACCCATTTTGGCGTGCATGATTCTATTGCGTGCGCGTGCAATCAAAGAAACTAAAGCGTGGCTGTATCCCCGAGCTATCCCTAGACGCAGCCGGCTAAAGTCGAGAAGTTGAGGCCTGGTGAACCTGCTAAGGCGGTGTACTCCTTGAAGTAACGTAATGGTAATAAGAGTGTCCATAAAGATTATCGGGGGTGAGAGTCTATTCTCCGAGGTGTAATATAAAACGGTGAGGCAGCTAATAGCTATATGTGTAAATGCATCGTAAAGACTACTTCCCTTCTGAATATTACGCTTATGTTTGTAACGACGATGCTGGCTTCTCCTGATGGGAGTTCTATCCCAGCCTATATCATCATGTTTTAGAGGCGGGTTAGCCTTGTGATATCGCACCTGGCAGTCTGAAAAAGACCGGGGAGCTTTGCCCCCCAAAGCTGCTTCCCTGGCGCGGTGTAACCCCCTGAAAAGTCGAAAACTGGCTTTTCCTCGCCGGCTCAAGCTCCCTGCCCCACAGAAGAAAGTTTCAAAAGGCGGGTCATGGAGCGAGCCAGGCGGTTTAGCCAAATTACCCTGTAAAATCCGCGGCCGACTGCTGGCGAGCTGTGGTCTCGAAAAAGGTGACGTCAAGAGACCATGTTGAGAAAATTCAAAGGCAGCTCCAGCCAGCAGCCAGGGCGGTGTAGCCAGAAGAGAAGGTGGGGACACCGCAGCCTCTAAAGAGGGAAGCGAGAAAACTGTGGAGGTAAACCCTCAAAACTCATCCTCCATCTCGGCTCCTGCTGAGCCCTTCTTGCCCTTGCCTCTGCCTTTGGCCGAAGCTGGAATCGTGGAGGGAGGTGGCATGCTGCTAGCAGCTGCAGCTGACACCGGCGGTTTACCTCCAAAGGTGGAAACCTTGTAGTCTCCAACTTTCTGGTCCGGCTGATTCTGCTTGTCACACAGCTCGTCCCAGGAAAAGGCAATGTCATCCACAGGCATGACATACATAGGAATTGGGAACGGGTTGGAGTCACTGCTGTGAATGAGCGGTGTACTCCAATGCCTGGAGCTTTTGCCAAGCTGCACGCCCTTTCCGGAGCCTTTGGACTCCTTAAGGGCTCTTTCAAAAATCTCCTTGTCGGCTTTGTCCATCTCCAGCTGGATGCCGTAGGCCACATCGCTCCAGCAGTGTTCCCAGAGAGTGTCTTCCAGGGCCGGGGCCGGCGGTTTACTCTGGATGATTGTGTGCACATCCCGAGTAATCTCCCGCCCCTGAAACACACCATCCTTCTCAAAGTAGATCATCCTGGCTGCTGCACGGATCTGGTCGTTCCACTCACGGTTCTCGCTGGGCTCCATCACCGTGAGTGTTCGCCAGAGGATGATCATTTGAGTGGGCGGATTAGTCTGGGTTTCCGCCCACTTGTTCATGGCCTTGAGGAGGACTCGCACCGGGAGCTCCAACTTGCGCTGGAACTGAGGCGAAGCCGGCGTGGCACGGATGTGAAATCCTTTGGCCACCGTCTGCCCGTCCTTCCAGAGCGGTGTACCCCCTGAGCCTCCGAACGCGGCCATGAACTCCTTGCGTAGGTCCCAGGATTTGAAATACAGTGTGGTAACTGTACTCCACTTGCCAGTGCCGGCTGGCGGTGTACTCGGGTCAGTTTGCAAGGCCCCGAGATAGTAATACTCGGCAGAGTCAGAGGCGTTGTAGCTGCGCTGCTGCAAGAAGTGACGCACATAGGTGACCTGCCCCAAAAGCCAGTTGATCATGTACAGGCGCTCGCCAGGCGCCATGCTTTGATCCCAGCCGCTGAGAATAACCATCAGGCCGCACTCGCGCTTCTGCTGCGCCCTGTTCTCAGAAGCAAGCCAGCGGAGGCCTTCCTGGTTCTGCGCGATGCGGTCGTCGAGCGTTTTAACCACGTTTTCCACTTGGCTGATATAGTGGAAAAGCTCCGGTAAGCCCGCACCGTCTGTAAAACGTCCGCGCGCGTGGAAACCGTTCCGGAAAGCCACGATTGCACTGCCGCTGGGTCGTTGATATCCACCCCCAGCTGTGCTGCTGCCAGTGAGTATGCCGTGGACTCCTGCATGGGCATGGGCTGGAAAAGGTTAGCTCCCTGCCCTGCATCTGGCGGGGTAGCAAAAGGATCCGGTCCCATCTCCTCCATTGTAGCATCCGACTCTGGCACCTGCGGTGTACCCAGCATAGAGCCCGAGGCTGACGGGGCTTTGCGCTTGTCCTGCCTGTGCTGAAACCAGAGCTGCTGGTTGGCGGTGTACACCGGCTGGCTCGTAATATTCTGCTGCAAACCCAGTTGCTGATGGGCTTGCGTGAGCTCCTGGCCAGATTGGACGGCGGGTTAGCCGGAGCTTCTCCGCCCTTTCCTGCCATTGCCGATCGAGGCAGGCCTTCCGGTGAAACCCGTGGCGGGGTACTCCCTTGAGGAGCCGCCAACAAAACTTTCAGAAACAACAAACTCTGCAAAAACCTTCCGAAGTGAAACCTGTAAGCTGCCATGAAAGCCATAACAACCAACCATGCACATGCGCCGCTGAAAGCCGATACGCCTGGTTTAGGGTTTAGGGTTTAGGGTTTAGGAGCTTAGGGGCTTAGGGTATATCCGGGGGATCAAGGTGATACAACCCTTACGACCCCAAAACCCCAAACCCCAGAGGCTCTCGGGGTTGAAGGCTTTGGGGTCATTGCCGGGCTCCGTCGCCGATCTGCAGAGCTAGTTGCTGAGGCGCTTTTCGGGATTTTTTGGGGGAAGAAGAGGGCTTGGGGGATGAAGTTTTTGTCTGCGATCCTCTCAGTCTTTCAACCCATAAGGCTGTTTTGGAGATCCTCGTTCAGTCCTAAACCATAAGCCCAAAACCAGCGTCGGCTGAAGTACTATGGCCCTAGGGCCGGAGCTTATCGGATCCCAGCCTGCAAGCCAACGTAGGGGAAGCAATAAATGGTGCTTCGGGCTTGCTTCATAGTACGGTTATGACGCGGAGGCTTCTAAGATAAATTTTAGTAATCCATACTATCGGGGCCTTAATAACACTTAGAATAGGCTTTTGGTGAACATGATATAGGAACCCCCCCAAAAAATAGTAGTATTGGTAAAAAATTTTAAGGCTCCAATATTCAATCCTTTGCTTCCTTGTGCGCTCTGTGGGGCTCTTGGCACCGCTTTTGAGCAAACTTTCGAGGATTGGGCATTCTGTAGGTACTGTAGTGGCCGAAATAATCACCTACTATTTTGGTGGCTCCTTACTATAACTATCGTATAATGGGCCCCATAACCCTATTCTAATTATTGGCCCCTGTAGTAGGACTTTGGCCTCATGACAGCCGCCAAAACCCCTGAACCCTGGTATTCCAGAGGACTGGCCGGGGGCGGCAAAGTCGCCTCACCCTGCCAAAGGCAGCTTTCCGCAGTAAAGGCTTGGATTTCAGCTTCTAAATTTAGGCGCGCCTTCTTTCAGGGTCCGAAAATGTACGGTCTGTACAATATCCTCCGAAACCGCAAGACACGGAGATTAGAGACAGGATGTGAAAGAGTGGTGCTCAAATCAGTGCGGCTCTTGTTCAGGCGTGTTCTTGGTTGCGCGTTCCCTGTCACAAGCTGAGAAAGGTTTCCCATACCCACAACCCTCAACAGTACACATGGTTCGAGAGGGAAGCGTTCCGTAGATTCTGCCCTGGCGCATCCGTGTTGGTCACAACATCCCCTCCATCGCTTACATGCTCAGGTGCTGACCAGTAACGAAGCAAGACGGCACCGAGTCGCCAACAACTAAAGCACTGCGCGAAGGAGTCATCAGCAGCATCATCATCTTGCAAATGGTTTATAAGCCACAAAAATAGTAAAGACTAACACTGAAAAGATTTGCAATAATCATGCAATCAGAACCACCCCCTTTCCCCAAGCCTTCCAAGCGGTCGCGGAAAGGTGAGCCACGCAGTTGTGCTTCAGTTGATCGGAGCAGGCAGCCTCCGAACTTCATCCGAGCTTAGGATCCTTATCGTTCTTGTACCTCCGGGCCTGAGGCCCGAAGGGTTTAAGGCGTGTTTTGACACCTTTTCTTTTTCCGGTTGAGGGTTTACGGGTTAGTGTGTGGGAAAGTTTAGGGTTTACGGTTTCGACTCTTTCTTGGAACTCCTCTGGCGGTTATGCTCCGGCGCAGCTGCGACAGAGGCCGTTATATGACCAGGAGGACAGGACACGATGCAGCTTGCGGCATGGCGTTCGAAAACAAAGTCCTTGTTTAGAGAACCTAATACCCCTTAACTAAGGAATATACCTTAAATCATTAGAGGCTACATATTATGACTGAAGCTATATTCCTTGATTAAGGGGTATTGGGCTCTCTGGGTGCTTACAGCCCAACAGCATCCTCAAACCCAAAACTCGGCGACTCGGGACTCCGGCGTTGACGCATTTTCGGGGCCCGCAGCTCTCTTCGTCAGTCCTCGAATGGTCGCGCCGGGATTAGGCTTGCAGGGTCGGCGTTCAAGGCTGACAGGGCTGAAAGGCACAATGCTTCTATGCGAAGGAGGCGAAGTCAACCTCTTAAAGGCATCCTGGAACACAGGTCCTCTCGCCGAGGCAAACAGCGAAGCACAGGCCTCGCTTCGAAGGAGCTGGGCTCTTTATGCTAAAACAACCCTTTTCCGATTTGCCAAGATCCGGTGCTGGGTTCAGGGCTTAGGGTTTCGAGTTTAGGGGCATGTTCCTACCTTCTTGACTCCTGCCTTTGGGGGTATCTGCCTGTGATGCTATGCTACATTACCACATCTACTGCCATTGACTGCAGCCGCCGGCACCAACGCAACCACCAGGCCCAGATCCCGTAAATCTCAAGACGAGGGCGCGCGCCGGCCCACATCAACCCCGAACGCGTGCCCATGGCTATCGTCTTGCACTGCAGCCCACCCTTTACGAAGAATCTGACTCTGACTCCCCTACTATACGGGCCTTAATACTTAGAACAGGGTTTTGGGGCCCAGTATACTGTAGTCATACTGAGGAAACCCCCAAAGTAGTATGGGTGATTATGTAGGCCCCTACAGTAAACCTGAGATCGTCCCCCGAGCCACGGACGCTCACAGGTCTCCGCCAGGGCCCGGTGAGCCTCCAGGGTCGCCTTTCAGCAGGATTTGGGCGGCTTTCGACGGTAGGAACCTGATCAAGAAACCTTGGGCCTTCATTACGGTTATTCGGGTTCTATAAGGGTTCCCGTAAAGGGTACTATGAAGGTTTCGGGGGGGTTGGGTTTGATGTAGGAACCTGATTAAGAAACCTTGGGCCTTTATTAGGGTTCTTAATATGAATCATACTACTTTGGGGTTCTTTTTTTTTGAACTCCTTTCTCCGCCTCAGACTATTTTGGGGTTCTAGCCCAGGGTTTCTTAATCAAGTTCCTACATTACAGGAGTCTCCTCTCAGTTTTAAAAGGGCTTCGTACAAACTGCCAGAGTTCCTTTCAGGCGCTGCCTGATGTTGAGGGGTTTTGAGTTTTGGGGTTTACGGCTTTGGGGCTTTGGTTAGGTTTGTGGGCTTCGGCGTTGAGGGGTTAATGATTTGAAAGGGGCTTCGGGGGTGGAGGGTGAGAAATAAAGCACTCCAGCCCATGAACCCGACTCACAGAGTGTGTCTATCCTACGCATTCGAAGACCAATCCCAAGACAACGGAAGAAATTATGCGCCGTGAGCAGAGGTTTCCAGGGCTTTCAGCGGCGCACCCGGCTGTTTTCCAGGCGAAGCCAGAGGGGTACGAACCGCTCGGTAGAGGCATTCCTGGGCCAAGAATTGCACCATTCTACAATATAGGTACACAGGACCCTTTGGGACCACGAACACGGTTTCATGATGGGGCATGAAGAATCCCTCGCTGATCCATCTGTAAACTGACCCAGGAACCGGGATGGACATCTATTTTGCGGAAGCAAATGCGATTGTGGAGACAGACAACTTAGAACAAGAGATTGCGGCAGGTCATCAGTCTTTTCCCAGTGGTCATGACACGTTAAGTGATCAGTGGCCTGGCAACCAGAAACACGGTGCTCCATCATATCCAAACAACCACAATACTGGCATGCATCTTCTTCTTCATTGATGTGGTGTTAAGTGAAACATGGGGTCAGCATGGGTGTTTGCAGATGTTCTGCTATGGGAAAGGATGTCAAGTCACGCATGTCACGCAGACTATCTTTCTGTGTGCAGGTTTGTGGTTCGGGTTTCTGGAGCTTAATATAGGGATCTTAATAATTACAATAGGGTTTTGAGGTATAATATTCTATAACTAGAATAAGGTCACCCCAAAATAGTAGGGGTAGTTATTTAGGCCCCTAGCAGGCAGAGTCAGCGAGGCCCGGAGCAGCGAGAATGAGCCACCAAGCTAAGCATCCCCCAAGAGGTCTCATCTCAACATGATTGGGGTTTAGGGTTTCGGGGTTTAGGGGTTTAGGGGGTCGAGGTTCAAGGAGAACGCCTTTCGGACGGAACACTGCGGGGTTAAGGGTTTGGGGTTTTGGGGTTTTGTGGTTTAGGGTTTGGGGTGGTCTTACTCTTCAGTCACTTCCCCGGCCCTGAGCCGACCCAGAACCCCAAACTCAGGACGGAATCAATCCCCCATGAACCCTAACCTACTTGGAGGTTCATGGGTAGCTATAAGTGGGTTCTAACTATACTTAAAACTCACATTAAGGGGCTTATGACCCTACTTATATTTTTTAACTACCCATGACCCTCCAAGTCTTCCCCAGAAGCCCCAAAACCCCGAGAATCCCCGAGGCCCCGGCCACACTGGGTAGGCCGGATGGAGAGCCAGGCACCCCAAGAGCCAAATCACGCCCTCTTCAGAAGCTTGCATGGCTTTTGCAGTTGGCTAGTCTAAAGTTACTAAAACACTACTAAAGTAGTGATTTCCTGTTTTTGCCAAAGTTGGCTATAAGTTTCTCTCGCAGGTTGGCAGGGCATGCTGAAAGTGAAAGATTCCGTTGAAGGGTGTAGGGTTTCATGCGGGGAGGGGTTCAACTAGATGTTTAGGGTTTCGGATTTCGGGATACAGGCCGGTAGAAACCGAGAAAAAGGCCAAGCAGATGCTGAAGCCAAACCATCCAAACGCAAACAAAGCTAATGCTCCACGAAATCGCCGACCGTTTCCATCGAGAAGATGTGCGGTCGAACAGTACTGAAAGGCGTGTTGTTTGAGCATCCCGAGAGTCTGCTGCATATCATCATAGAATCATATACATGACCACGGGCCTTCGAAACAAGGAAAGCCGAAGGCCATCATACTTGTGTCTTATAGTAGAACAAAGTATATTGTGGTATCAGATGCCAAAAGCTATCATAATTGTGTCTTATAGTAGGGAAAGCATATCGTGGTATCTTATAGTATACGAGAGTATACTATATAATATATTAGAGTATACCCTAGTATATTATAGTATACTATCGTATATTATGTGTCCCGCGGCCCGGAAACCCAAGGCACCAAACCCGGAGGGCCCATAATATACTATAATATACTATAATATACTATACTGTACTGTAATACAGTATAATATACTTTAAAACCATATATTATCTATAAGCCTCCATCGAGAAGCGGTTCTTCGTGAGGAGCAACTCTTGCACCGGGGCCTCTGCCGTGGCGGCTCGGTCTCGGGGCTCACAGGGGCCGGGCCCCGTTAGAGGTGGACTTGCGCGTGCTGCGGAAAGTGTGGCAGAAAAAGCCCGCTAGGTACTGGTTTGTATGGACTGTGTAGCTTACAACCTTGTGATTATAGAAGGCAGGATGGCGGGTTCTGTGTTGAGCTCTACCGGCGGGCTTCCCAATGCTTCCCAGAGACTCCCATATCCCTTAATTAAGGAATATACTTTAAATTATAGTAGGATCCCTTATATGATTTAAGGTATAGTCCTCAATTAAGGGATATTGGAGTCTCTGGGTCTCCGCTCTGTGCAACCGGCCCACCTGGCTTGACGAAGCCAGGTACTTGGCAAGACGCCTGCGACGACGAAACCGGGTTTGAGAACGGGCGGAGATCAAGCAAAAGAAGAGATGCCTGTGCACAGAAGCTGAAAAAGCCGGAAACCCCCCAACCGGCAAATCGAAATGCCCAAAAACCCTCCCATCCTGCCTGAGGCCCTCGTTGCCGATGTGGTTCCCACTGAGCCTGAGCACCTGCGCTCGGCTGCAGGGCTGATCAGCGCGGAGCGCGCAGCATGCAGTATGCCGAAGTCGGAGGTGGCACAGCTCGAAGATGGCCTCACACCGGACCCGGTGCTTCTCAAGGAGGTCGCAGAGGGCCTCACGGGCTGCTGCATACTTACCTACCAACTGTTTCCATCTGCTCTTCCAACAAGTCACATGCTCAATGAGCTCAAGAGCTTGCAGAAGACGCGGGTTCTACAACCTCCACATGCCTGCGATGAGATATGATTTGACAACGTGTGTGTGTGTGTGTCGCATGAACTCATCTTTTTGAGAGTCCGGTCCGGGCCAGGATGTTCCACTTGCCCCAGGTAGCATCAATAGCGCACCGTAGTGGATCAGGTAGTTGAACTCCGATTGCTTTATGGCGAAGACGTTCCAACTCCCAACGGTCTTGTGTGCTCCGTTCATGGTATTAGTCATGCAGCTACACCACTTGCCGATGTCGTTGTTGTAGCACCGTGGCATGGGACTTGGGGTTTTGGGTTCGAAGATGCTGCGTTTCCTGGGGCTCGCCATGCTGAAACCCCTCTCTGTGTAAACAGGAGGACGGACCTTCATTCCCTTCACGGAAATCGCATTCTCTGAGAAGTCGATCGTGGATGCCTGTCACCCGATCGCACGATAAGGCGGTTGCAACGAATATAGGAGCCTTCAACGCCTTGGACTTCTGCAGAAGCGTTGACCGTACTGTTGCTCTTTCACATCTATTCTCTGCTCTCGGCTCGGGGGCCCTGGCACTGCTGCACCCTTCAAAATCAACAACAACTTAAGAAACACCAAAAGAAAACTCAAAAAAAAACAAGCTAACTGGAGGGAGCCCGACCTTGAACTGGCTGCCACCGGCAAAGTTGGGACGCTCGGCAGTCAACCGCCTTGGCTGGGGACCCCCTCTTGTCCGACAACTAGTAGAACTGATAGTCGCACTGGTATGATGCTAACCCTCAGGCCCCAATGACAATAACAATAGCAATCATCATCAACATTATCGCAATGGTGTGAACATTAATGATCACCATCATCATCATCATCACTGACAATGGTCATGAACAACAACACTGTGCATGATGAGATGTCAAGCTCTGTACCGTTGAGCAATGCCAGATATCAAGGCTTCTGGAACCCTGGATCTAAGGTGTGTGGGGTCTGTGCTCAGCCTTCGCAATCGGTGCATCTGGAGCTCGAGGGTTTGTGACACGTTCTTGGATCCTGGGTTGAATCAGAAGGCGTAAACCAGAAAACGTCGGTTCCCACCGTGCCGTAAGTCTTGAGGAGATACCCCCACGGAAAGGGAGGGAGGTCCTGCCAAACAAAGCCCTAAACCGTAGAAACCCCAGTGTGTCGCGTATGGAACCGTCACACTTCCGAGAAAAAGCCCCATGGTAACCGCAGAAACCCTGTTTACCCAAAACTGAGATAACATCGTACGTAAAAAGCCTGGAGAACTGCACTGGAAAACTGCATCAGGTGTTCATAGTCTCAATAGGGTTACTATCTACGCAGACCCCTATTTTGACCCTCAGCCCTACGCCAAAACAACTCGCCACAATCCCTTTTTGAGTGCGGCGCCGGTCCATCCAGCTACACCAGCGTGCCAGCAGAGCATCGTCCAAGCCGACCTTCGCTCATTTTGGGTCCTTAAGGGCTCCTTCAAGGGCTCCTTTAAGGGTTCCTTTGAGGGCCCCTTCGAAGGTTCCTTTAAGGGCTCCGTTAAGGCTTTGCTTTTGGGGGTTCCTGTAGGGGTTCTTTTCGGGGTTCTACAGGAGTCTCGGAAGTTTTATGGTTTAGCCTTCCGGGCGTTTCGGCATTCGTTCAGGTTCAAGACTACTGAAGTGCAAGAGAACATGTCCTAGGCTTGGGATTCGGAGCAAAGCTCTATGACTAAAGACGGTTCTGATTTTCATAGCTCTACATACTTACCTACTGCATGCATGCATGCATGCACAGAGACATACAGACAGGCAGACAGACAGATATGTATACACATACAAGGAGCCAAATGGGCAGGACATGCGTAATGATACTACTACGACTACTACGACTACTACGACTACTACGACTACTACGACTACTACGACTACGACGACGACGACTACTACTACTACTACCACTGCTACTGCTACTGCTACTGCTACTGCTACTGCTACTGCTGCTGCTGCTGCTGCAGCAGCTACAGCTACAGCTACAGCTACAGCTACAGCTACAGCTACAGCTACAGCTACAGCTACAGCTACAGCTACAGCTACAGCTACAGCTACAGCTACAGCTACAGCTACAGCTACAGCTACAGCTACAGCTACAGCTACAGCTGCTGCTGCTACTGCTACTGCTACTGCTACTGCTACTGCTGCTAATGCTACTGCTACTGCTACTGCTACTGCTACTGCTACTGGTACTGCTACTACTACTGCTACTACTACTACTACGACTTCCAACAATAATAAGAACAAAAAATCTAATACTAACGATGTTAAACGTAACAACTATGAAGCAAAGCCCCCCGACCGCTTCCTGAAGCGCACTTTTTGGATTTCTCCATCAGCCCCGGCCTCGGCCATGAAAATCGTCAAAGAGCAGGGCTCGCCCGGCCTTCAAACTTAGGGTCTAGGGCTCAGGGTTTTAGGCTTGTAGGGTCTAAGGTTTAGGGTTTTAGGGTATAGGGTTTGGGGCGTCTTCCTGTGCGGTGGCCGATAGTCCATGCAAAAATAGCACCACCTCACACCAAGGTTTGTGGGGTTTGTGGGTGGCGGCATATTTGGCGTCAAACGACCTCCTTTCGTATGCCGTGGTAGGACTCGGCGACACCAGAAGCTCTTTTTACCCCCCCCCCCCGCTGATGGTACCACAGACAACCACCCAAACCATCTCCTGTTAGGGTTTAGGGTTTATGCCCTCAGCTGCAGCCGCTACTGCCACCAGTCTACACCTACTCGCCATCCTAAATGCTTTACTAGACTCTTTCTCCGACTACACCACCAGCACCACCATCAGAAGCAGCAGCACCGCCACCAACACCACCAACACCGCCATCACCGCCATCACCACCGTCACCACCAACACCCGACTCCACCGACTCCACCACCACCAACAACAGCAACAACAGCAACAACGACGACAACGACAGCGCCACCACCACAACCGCTATTGCTGCACCGCCATGTTGAATGCCTCGCTGGCTGGACCGAGCACCTCTCCGCCCACTCCTGCAACTCAGCGGCTGTGACTGTGGCCAGGTGGGGTCGTGCAGCCATGATGCCAGATGCGCTGACAGGTCTTCAAGCACGTGCAGCAGAGGTAATGAACGGAGTTGGCATTAAGCCAACTTAGCTTGGGGGTCAGGGTTTAGAGGTGTGGTCTGAAGTGCGGTGGGATGTAAGGCTGCCTGTTTAAGTTTCCAAGTGAATGAAGGAAGGAAGGAATGAACCGCCAGGCTGGGCCCTTCCAGTCGGAGGACAAGTATGGGTGCCGTCATTACAAACAAACTTCCAAACCTCGAAGCCACTGCCATCCCGGTCCGGATTTATTGAGGCAGTTTTGTGGGATCATACAAAAGATTCTGCACCCCCGAAACCGACTGGACCTGGTCGGACATGCTTCTTTTTGGTCTAGATCCTCAACCATAAAACCGAATAAACCCTGCAGCCTGAACCTCCTGAACCCGCCTAAAAAGAAGCTCCCAAGCCCCTTACAGGAACGAACCTTTCAAGGAGCCATACAGAAATAAATCCGAATCCCAAAAAGAGCTTCAGAGCTCTAGGAGCCCGGCCACATGCTCGTTGGCGAGCTTTGTCGCCGATGGGCTGGCAGATCAGCGGGTTTAGGGCTTTACGGTTTCAGGGTTTAGGGTTTAGGGTTCTATGGGGTTAAGCTTGATAGGGTTGATGCTCCTTCGGGGATACCTTTGCGGGATAGGGTTTGTTGAAGGGGGTTTACACCGTACAAAGGCCTTTTCGGCTCTCATGTGCCAAGAAGAGACCTCCTGAAACTCAGCGTACCCTGTGAGGTTCTACAACAAAGATACCCCATCAGCTACCTTCCGTTTCGAAAACCCACAACCCCAATGACTCAGGAGAGCTCTCGTAAACCCCAAGTAACGGAGCCCTGAAGAGGAGCGGAACCCTTGGGCAAATTTCCGCAGCTCTCAGGAAGGGGCCTTGGGCGCGGTGGTGGCGCAAGGGTCGTCCTGGTCCCGAGTTCATTTAGGTTAGTAATGTAGCAGCGCAATAACACTGTAATACTACAGCACTACAATACTATAGTACACTGTTTAGTCTAGAGTCTAGGGTGCTGGCTTTACGAACTCTAGCGTTCAGCATTTTGGTGTTGGGTTAAGGTGTCTGTCGTGTGGCTTGGCCGTTCAGCGCTGAGTTCATACTGCCAGGAATAGTCTGGAGTGTGGGCTGGAGGATGAGGATATTGGTCGGACTGCGGTGCGGGCAGAGGTTGATAATATAGGGGCCGGCCCTCATAATTAGAATAGGGTTTTGGGGTATGGGGTATATTATACTATACTTATGATAAGGAACCCGTAGAGTAGAATAGGTAATTATTTCGGCCCCTATATTAAACCCCGAATCCCAAAACCCTAAACTGTAATTATTGAGACTGAAGTTTTCAACAAAGCAAAGCCCACTTTTCGGCCTCTTCAGAGCTGTCTCGGGCTCTGACGTCGACCTGCCAGACGGTGGTTGGGACTCTGATCTCTTCTGGGATTTGTTTTTTTCAATTTGTGATGACCTACGTCCACCTGTACAGGTGCACACGGTGAAACTAGACTCGGTACTGATACTCCCGAATCATGTAGAAGTCATCGTGCTTGTGTTTTGTAGGAGTCATCGCACTTGGAGTTGCAGACTTTGTAGGGTTTAGGGTTTTAGGGCTTTAGGGTTTAGGGCCTGGTTTAGGGTTTAGGGCTTCAGGGTTTGGGGTTTTGACTTTAGGGAGGGTTGGGGCTCAGGTTCGAATGACCCTGCTTTAAGAGGCAGGTTTTCTGGCCTGAGATGCCAACTCCACATCTCGCACATTCCATCTCAATCCAAGTCTTTCTGAAAAACCACGTGAAATGACACACAAACAGGCATACGAACGTGGTGCTGAAGTTCTCAAGCCAAACAGAGACACAAACAAGCAAGCAAGCACGCAAAGCACGCAAAGCACGCAACCACCCAAGCAAGCATCTGTGTACGCATGCCAGCATGCCCTGAGCCCCCTCCATGCATTGCATTGCATTACATTACATAGCTATATACGTGCATGCAGGCATAGTACTGACAACCGCGGTCGAAGAGCATGACCAGTATCAACACTGCTTACAGGGGGATGCTGCTCTAGGCGCCGGCTCCTGAAAAGGACTGCCCTTACTATGGAGCCGAACACCTTCACTGCCGTCACACACATATGGAAGTGTCCGGAAATAGGGGGTACCTTCTTTTGGTGTCGTTATGATAAGGATCCTACTAATTAGGGTCCCCTATTTTCGGAAACTCCCATATACCCTAACCCTACACTCCTCCTCTCCCTCCGCTACTCTGTGGCTACGCCGGCCTAGGCTTCGGTGGAGCGTAGGGCGTGGTCGGCGTGACCGGCGTCTTGCAGGGCGTCGGTGGGTCGCATTCAGCTATGGAGTTTAAGGCTTCAGGGCTCTTTTCAGGCTTCCGTTCAGAGCTCTATCGTGGGTTTGGGATTAGGGGTTTAAGGCTTCAGGGTTGGGGGTTCTTAAGGCTTTGAGTTTTACTCAGCAAAACGCCAGACTCAACCCCAGAAGACCCCGCAGAGGCGTCCGAAACAAAGAAAGGAGGATTCACTGTAGCGCCATAGCTTCGTAGCAACTCCAAATTCTTCAGGCTCCCCATGTGCAAGTCTCAGCAGACTGATACTGCTGCACCACGTATCGTAAGATCTTGGCCTCCGCCGATTGCCCACCGGCTGCTCTCCTGAATGGATGGAATATGATGGAATCTTTAGGGGCTACTTTTGGGGGTTCTAAGGGTTCCATGCGGAGTCCATGGGTCCATGATGGCCTTGACGTGGTACCACGCGAGATTTCGAGGGTCTCGGGAGCGTTTCACGAAGTTGTCGTACCTAAGCTACGGCAAGTAGCCTCACAAGCCTTGCAGTAACCGCTTCTAGCACATCACCCTTGAAACTGACCTTCTATAGGAACTTTCAAAATACCCTTCATCCCAGAAACCCAAAAACCACAGCCCCAAAAGCGAGCCTCTTCGGCGCCGGCGCCTCTATGGGGCGAAGGAGTGGGGGTTTGAAGGGCTTCTGTAGGGGTAATATACTAATGTCACAATATAATAATATAAGAATATAATATTATAATAATGAAATAATATGATTATATAGAATATAATACTATAATGATAAAATAATATAATAATACAATAATGTAATAATATAATAATATAATAAGATAATAATATAATAATATAATAATATAATAATATAATAATATAATAATATAATAACATAATAATATAATAATATAATAATATAATAGTATAATAATACAATAATATAATAATACAATAATACAATAATATATTAATATAATAATATAATAATATATTAATATAATTATATAATTATATAATAATATAATAATATAATAATATAATAATACAATAATAAACTAATATAATAATATAATAATATAATAATATAATAATATAAGAATATAATATAATAATAATATAATAATAAACTAATATACTTATATTAATACTAATATAATTAATGATATAATAATATAATAATATAATAATATAATAATACAATAATATAATAATACAATAATACAATAATATAATAATAAACTAATAGACTAATATACTAATATAATAATATAATAATATAATAAAATAATAATATAATAATATAATAATATAATAATATAATAATAAACTAATATAATAATATAGTAATATACTAATATAGTAATATAATAATATACTAATATAAAAATATAATAAACCCCAAGTTGGGTGCGAGGGCTTCAGCGGTTTTGGTGGTCAACCTTCTATATTTAGCTTTCGTGGCTTCGGCCACAGAGCTTCTGGCTTGGAGATGAAGAATCATAGTAGTAGATCCGTAGGTAGAGTCAAAATAACGAAAACTGATGATAGCAGATCTTCTTCTCAGTATATATATATATATATATAGATACATATTATATGTATATACATATACAGTTGTGACAACAGAAAGACAACCATGATAATCATAGTAATTGTGCCAGCATAGGATTCCACCCGGCATCCTGAAGGGACCCTTAAGACTCCTAAATGCCAAGCTCCAACTGAAAACAAGTCCTCGCTTCGGATGCCTGGGCAACATCCCAGGTTGAGGGTTTAGGTTTTTTTTGAACGCCTTTTCCGTCTGCCATGGGTATGGAGTCAGTGAGGTTTAGGGTTTACAAGACAACCAAAACAACTCAAGGGACAAACATCAAATGAGCGCGCGGTCTTGAACTCCTCTTCCATGAGGTTCATAAAAGGAACCCTACGTCACGTCAATCAAGAACCCCGAGCCCGAAATCCCTCGAAGACCAAGCCCTAGCCCTAGCCCCGGCGCTCCATTTTTGTTTTGGATGCTTCAGGCTCTGGGTTTAGGAGTTAATGTAGGGGCCTTCATAGTTAGAGTATGGTTATGGGGTCCATTATACTATAGTTATAATGAGGAACCCCCAAAATAGTAGATACATTACACCATGGGGCCCTTTCCCAGGCTCAGGGTTTAGGACTTAGGGCCCACCTCGCCACCACCGGACGCACCCCGCAGCTTCGCCCAGCGCGCCGCCGCGGCGGCCGCCGCGCGCGCGGCGGGGCTGCTGCCCTGTCTCAGGGCTCGGGAAGTTTAGGGCTCAGGGTTTTAGGGTTTAGGGGTCTAAGAGTCTAGGGTTCAGGCTTCAGGGCTTCGCAAGGGAACCCTTAAGCACAAAGTTGCATCGACCCAAACCTCCCATGGCGTAAACCTCTTCGACCCATACATGCATTTGTGAACTCGCAGTACCCCATGAACCCTAGACCGGGACGAGCGGTGCGGTGCAGACGAATGTGGATCGTGAGATACCGTCGAACGGAGACGGAGACCTCTTGCATGCTATCCTTCAGGGTCTAGTGTCTGCCGATGCGTTCTTCAATTCAGTCTCAGGGCTCTCAGAATACAGCTCTGGACCAGTTGCGACATGTCCGATACTACAACGGAACGTTGCAAGTGTGCGTGGTTGAGGCCGTTGTACGCGAACTTTCAGGCTTGGCTTTGGGCTTCAAGGCAACTCTCTTCATGGAACGTGGACCCCTTATCACCGAGCCCTCTCCCCAAGAGGCATTCTGTGACAGGTGATCGTGCCATTACATGCCTCAACCAAACGAGGCGTACCCATCAGCGGTCTGCATTACCCATGATTTCTGACGTCGCGGTGTGCGAAAGCTGTCTGCATGTATCTGCAAGTCAAAACTTCTTAGCTGGACAGTAGACTGACAGGCTCCTGATTCAGCATCTGGAAGCTCTAAATTCTGTCCACTATGCATCCAGCTGGACTTGACACTTCTGGTCTTAAACCGGGCACTTTCCACCAGTCATGGCCTCTGATGAGGATTAGCGCTGCTGCAAGGCTTATGCAGCTGCCCGCATGACTTGCGGAGTCCCGACGTGCATGGTCACCTCGCCAATCTCTTGTTGGAGGGCGATTGAATTTGAAAACTGACAGCACCTGACTGTCACGAGAGCGACCTGGAAGACGTCTGGGTTCTCAAACATTGAGGACGAAAACCAAAACGAGAAACGATGTATGTCGCTATGTCCCACACCACCACGACGCCGAGCAAACCCAGCAACTGGCACGCTCTCTATCAGGCACAGCACTCCCTGCTAACGTGTGCTCATACATGCACCGGCTTTTGTGGGTAAGAGTCCTCCAGCTTCGGGTCCTGGCCACTGAAGGCATAGGCCTTCGGCGGAGAGTGCGAATGCATGTCGTAGCCGATCTTCTCAGTGTGATCGTCGATACGAAGGAGCCCCGAAAATCTCAGGGCCAGGAAGGACAGGGTGGACAGCGTCCCGGCCCAGGCGATGATGGCCACAATCATCACAAGCTGCGCTGCGATGGCGGAGCCTCCAATGCCCTTGCTGCACGCACCGTCGTCACCCGTCATGCAGCCGAAACCGCTCCAGCCGTGATAGTGGTCAAAGCCCTTGCCCCAATCGAAGAGAGCAGTGGCAAGAAGCCCCCACACGCCACAGGCTCCGTGCACGGCGCTGGCATCCACGGGGTCGTCAATCTTCAGCCTCACAAGGAGACTTGACGCCGCCTGGTAGAAGAAAGCACCAATGAAGCCGGTGAGAACAGCGCTGCCGCACTCCATGTTTCCGCACCCCGCAGTGATGGACACCAAGCCCGAAAGAATGCCGTTACAGAGAGCTCCGACATCATACTTGCGCGTGAGCACGAACTTCAGCAGGAACACAGAGATCCCGCAGGTGGCGGCGGAAAGAGTCGTGTTCATGGCAACCTGTGCCGCAAGGGCCCCCATCTCCTTGTCGTGCATCGAGAGAGTGGAGCCTGGGTTGAAGCCATACCAGCCGAACCAAAGCGCGAAGGTGCCGAGCACGATCCTGGGATGTTTCGTCTTGTGCACATATACGGATACGACTTGCGCATTCACATGTACATATACGTATACATTTGCTTCCAAGAGCAAACAGGTCGCAGTGGGATGTTGTGGTACTCGAACTCCTCGGGATTCTCGAAGCGTCCCTTCCGGGGGCCGAGGATGACCGTGCCAGCGAGGCCGCAAACGCCTCCTGTGAAATGGACGACGCCTGATCCTGCGAAGTTCATCTATCTGATCTATCGCACATGTGTCATAAACAGTTGGCCTTCGCAACACACGCCTTCTGACCAGGTACCGACTTACGGACAACCAGCAAGCTACACACACTCGGGAACGGGCATAGGGAAAAGGGTGCAACAAACAAATGTGATCCTGCGAAGTCCATATATCCCACACCGAAGATGCTGGCGAGCCAGCCGCCGCCCCAGGTCCAAGCGACTATCACTGGGTAAATAAAGCTGGTCATGCAGAAGGCGAACACAGCATAGGTGGGACTCTTGACGCGCTCCGCCACACATCCGCTCACGATGGTGGCACCTACGTTCAAACACGAATGCACGCTGGTCAATCTGGTGAAAAAATGCATGAGAACCTACAGTCACGTCTCGATAGAAGGACACAACGACAACTCAGGTTGGTGCCAGCTGTGCAGAAGGCCTAGGCTCTTCAGTAACCCACTGGGGAAAGGTATACTTGGCTACCGGAAAAGTTTTCTTTAGCTACCGGTAGTTATATGTTATACTGCTTACTAGGAACCCATAACAAAAAAGTATATCCCTGCACATCCTGGAGGCCCACTGAAAGAACCAGCTCAGCATGGTGGACTGGCAGTTCCCGTCCTCGCATGCCACGGGGACGATATTGCCCGATGCATCCTTGCTGTAGAAACCGAGGCCGAAGAAGCCATCCGTGCCAATGAAAGACCCGGCTTGGGAGCCATAAGCAAAGGCCCAGCCAAAGATCCACCAACCCAATGTGCCAACTGACACCTAGTTCATGGTTGGGATAGCATCAAATTTATTTGTGTGTTTATGGTTTAATGGGTTTAAGTACCCATGAAAATCTAAAATGTTACCGAACTATGACACAGACACATTGACTAGGTTCTTCATCAGCACGTTTGAGGCATTCTTAGCACGGCAGCAGCCAGTCTCCAACATAGCAAATCCTGCATGCATGAACATAACCAGCGTTTGTTGGTTTGGTAGGCGTGCACCCCTTAAAGAGGTCGACGCCCGATCTGTACAAATCCTTTCCCAAAAAACCGGTCCTGCATGCATGAACATAACCAGCGCTCCACAAAGGACCAGCCAAGCCGAGTCCATGGCGCCCGCCATACTCTCCTGAGTTTCGGCCATCTGCTTCAGCTCCTTGCGCTGCTCTTCCAACAATTCTCGTTGGGCCTGCAGTTCGCGAAGAAGCTCGGCGGGAGAGTCCTGCGACATCGCTGTCGCGGTGAAGGCGGCAGCGAGAGCTGCTGCGAGGCAAACCTTCATCCTCACGAAAACCCGGTGATCACGACGAGCTTCCACCTGCCTAAGTGCCGCTGTGCGCGAAAATTGCTGCGGTCGTACAAGTACTGCCGAACCTGCATGACATGAAAAAGGTCTCAACAAATGAGCACACGAAGTCTACCGAAGCACAGCTTGTTGCACACAAAGCTTCCAGCATACAAGCTACCAAGAAAGAGACAGATGCATGGATGGGTGGATATGGACGACTTGTCTATAGAAGCATACATGAACTATGTACCAGCAAAGCTCTATCCAAGATCAGATTGAAACTGAAGGCGTCAGAACAAAACCAGATGGGCAACATACATCAACCTATTGACACCCATGTTTTTCAAAGACCGTATCCATGCCGTGGACATCCGGGCCATCCCCGGCGCCGCGCGGTTGCGGAAAGATCATAGAAACCACTCATACATCTTGTCTCACGACTGCATCTCCAGATGGCATATATCAAAACTCAAGGACCAACCCGAGTCCGAAGCCCCCCCTTGGGCTCTCCGTTTCACCTTGCCAACGGCAGGTCCTCCTCCCCCCCGGCTCTCAGGAAGCCGCAAAGTGACGAGCCCAGAGCCCGTGGAGTAGTCATTATTGTAAGAAATCATAACGATAGAATCATATTAGATAAAAGCAATAATCGCAATAATCGTAACAATCTAAAAATAGTACCAAGAATACGAATAGTTATGCTAATCATAGAAGCAAAACATCAGGACGCTGGCAAGACCAATAGCAAGAGGTGACGTTCTTCCTGAGAGCCCGGGGGCACAGTATGTACAAGCGGCCAATGGGAGCTACGAAGCCCTGCATTTCCCAGCTTCGGAAGCTTCTCAGGGATCTTAGGATTGTTAGGGTTTGGGAAGGAGTCTTAGGGTTTGGGACTCTGGGACTTCGACCCCGCCAAGAAAAAGGCGGGCGTTCTGCGCGAGACGCCCAGGGGGCCTAGCCCTGAAGCTTCGCCAAGGAGGCCCTCCACATGCCGAGCCTGCAAGCTGCGGCAGCTTTCCGGGCTCCCGAATTCGGGGGCCTTTGGTTGGTTCATCTTCAGGCCTTCGGGTGTAGACCATGGGGGTTTGTTTGTGTGTGGATCTTCTTCGGAACGGCCCAAAGTCTAAAGGGCTTGCGAAAGGTGCACGGTCCTGTCGTCAAGGGCGGAGTATGGCGGAATATCTTTGCAAGAAGGATCAAAGGATCTCGGATCGTGTTCACTGTACTAAGCGCAGGTTGCCCAACCCAACCACCACACCCCGGTGCAGCAGCAGCAGCAGCGTTGACGACGACTGACACCACTGCCACTTCCGCCACCGCTGCCCCAAAACAACAGTGCTTCAATGCATACAGCCGTGACATCTGCGCCAACACTCCAGTCTGAGAGCGACCGAGCCTGAACTTCTCCTGGCCCAAGAACAGAAGCTCCGACCCTGGCGCTTCCGGATCTTGTTCTGAAGGGATGGGAACGCCGGGTCTACGGCATGGAGTGGATGCATCCATAATCACATCATGTCGGGATGCGGCCTCTGCCTTGGGATCATAACCCCAAACTCCTGGAGCAAACGGAGCCCCAAATCTCGAAAACTGACACACCTCCCAACCTGCAACCCATCCAAGCCTCAAGCCCCGAGGACGTGCCTCCAGCTCCTGCCGCACACACATGACGAGGCTGCCTGGATGCCGGCGAAGTACTGGTTTACGCTACACGAGTTTCTGAACAAAGATACTACAAGCCGTCGGGCATATTCTGAGTGTTAAGGGCTGGCGATTGGGGTTTTGGAGCAACGAAACCCACATACACCCTGACACCTTGAAACCTTTCGACCGTTTAACACCCGCATAAGCCAATTAGAACCAACAGGGCGTGAACAGATGCAGACCCAAGCTGGGGGCACCACGCCGGCCATCGAGGTAGCCACATGTCCATCAGCTGCCCCTCATGCCTTGCTGTTGAGCTTGGAAAAGCTGGAGGAGTAGGTTTGGGGCCGAATATCCAAAAAAAGAGCACCCGAAACTCCACCCAAGGGCTTGGGTGGGAGGCCTGACGAGCTCCTCCGAGGTTCGGGACCTCTGGGGTTTGTCGAAAGAAGTCGAAGCTTGGTACCCCAAACCCTACCCAAACCCCTTCTAGAACTCCCTAAACCCTGAGGCCCCTAAACCCTAAACCCTAAACCAAAACCCTAAACCCAAAACCCTAAACCCTGAACCCTAAACCCTCCCCCCAAAACCCCCGGCATCAAAACGAAGCCGCGCTGTGGCGAGGCCCCGGGCAGGTCGAAGACGGCCAGGCGGCCGCTGGAGGAGAGGACCTCAGCAGCCAGGGGTTACAGGGCTTAGGAGGGGTTTAGGGGTGTAAAGGTTTCCGGCGCTTAAGGAGCAACAATACGAAGAGTCTCCCAGTAGAGGGCTTCCGGTGCCCCGAAACCCGAAAGTTGCAACGCAGGATACTATAGGGGTCGGACGAAGTCCCAATACTCCTCCTTGGGATTCCTTACAATGAGTATACCGTAATGGTGCGCCTACATCCTGTTCAGACTCGGAGGGCCCCACATGTTTTTCTTTTGCAGCCGGAGTCCGGTCCTTAGATTTGAGACCCTCGGAACAGCAGCACACCCCGATATCAAGTTCCATTAGTTGGTTTAGGGTTTAGAGGTTTCGTGGGTTTCGGACGACTCGGCTAGATACCTCGAAAGCCCGAGACCCTGCGATCTCTCAGATCTAAACCCTCCCGGCCCTCCTGTTGCGAAGTTGCCCATTGTGGAGGCATTCAAGCTCACCTAAACCCACCTGGAATCAGCTTGAAAGCCCTTCTTCCAATACAGTTGCATGTGAACGCACGCAGCTTCAAAAAGACAATCCGACGCAGCCAGTCCAAACTCTGCCAACCGCATCAAGATAGGTATACTAGTAGGCGTAGGGTTTAGGGTTCAGGGTTTAGGGTTTAGGGAGAAGAAGTTAACATAGTTCTAGTTGGAGGTGGAGCCACAGTTGCGGTTATGAACACAGTTCTACTGAGTTAAAGCAAAACTTCGAGAAGCATCAGCAGTGGCAATCTTCCCAGGGGCCCTGCCCAAAGCCTTCCCGTCGCCTGGTCGCCGGAGGTTCTGCTTTATTCTGTCCCTTGAAGTGCTTTGTAAGACCTCCATGGTACAATCCCCCGCCGTCGCCCCAACTAGCTAGAGGGGATAGAGGATAGAGGGGGGGGGCATTTATCGTATCACATCGTATAACCATAAACGGAGTATGGGAGGACGACATTCACAAACTTAATATCAACAGAGGGCACGCCCCCCCGCCCCACCCAGTTCAGGCCTCCATGGAAAGGCTCTCGACAGCAGGGGCCGGGGCCTGGAAGGCAACAGAGACACGAAGCTTCCCGAAGACCCGACACGAGAAGAGCGGATCACAACGGTTCCATTCAGTTGCGCGTTGAGAACGCTGTGAAGGCATGGCGAGGATGAGTGCGATGCTGACAATGCCTGCAGGCCTCCACCCCGCGTGGTAAAACCCTAATTGACCGCTTCATGTTTCAGTCTTCCATGCATGTATGTGCATGTACGTGGGTAGGTATGTACGTGCCTACGTGCGTATGCATGTAATGTGTACTTACGTGTCACTGCATTCTGTTGTTCACAGGTATACAACATGTACATATACATATACATATACATACACAATCATACATATACACATACACGTACACGTACACATACACATACACATACACATACACATACACACACGGCCATGTACATATACATGGCTATATACCCATCCATGTATCGATCCATCGATCCATCCATCTATCTGTCTATCCATCTATCTATGCATCTACCTAGATATATGTATACATATATATATATATATAGATACGCACATATATATATATATATATATATATATATATATTATTTGATATATATATATATATGTACACACACACATGTGTGTTCTCGTTCAGCTCTTCGCCAAAGCTTGGGGGCCGGGCCGACCCCGAGGCCGGACAGGAGCCCTGCGCCTGCGCTTGGGCTTCGGCTTCAGGGGTTTAGGTTTAAGGGTTTAGGGGTTCAGGGGTTCAGGGTTTAGGGGTTTAGGGTTTAGGGCTTTAGGGCTTTAGGGTTTAGGGCCTTTTGGGGGGTTTCGGGAGAGGGTTTGGGGCTGAGGGTTTTTCTTGTTTTGAACGCCTTTTGCCGCAGGGTTCAGGGTTCAGGGTTCAGGCTTAGGGTTTGCGATTCAGGCTTCAAAGTTGGGCTAGGGTTTGGGTTCAGGGGCTCTCTTTCTTCTTGTTCTTTTACGACTGCTGGTAGATGCAGGAATCCCGATTCGGGAGAAGCTTGGTTGCGCTCGCAGGCTTCAACGTTTCTGGCGAGGGGTCTGAGGGTTTAGGGCTTTAGGAGGTTCGGGGTCCATTTAGGGTTTAGGGTTTGGGGCGTTGAGGGATGCTGGAGTTGCCGACTCTTCTGGTTGAAAGGCCACGGCTTCGCGGGTCTTGGGGAGAACCTCTGGAGGCTCCCACGGGCTTCCCTGCGTCTGGGGCCTTCCAGCCCAGACTAGTGAAGAAAGCCTGAAGTCTGAGCTTTACCACAGGACTGCTCAGTCTGGAAGCCCTTCTAGAACCCTCGAACAGCACGCTATTTAAAGGACTTGCGGCCCCTATGTTCCAGAACCCAGGACCGCCTCCGGATTGTCAATCCAGTTGGCAAAGACATCGAAGAGGGGCACGATCGGGGAGGCGGCACCTTCAGCGGGAAGCTGTGTTTGGGTTTTTTGCTGGTACAGCTTCGGAAGCCCCCTAGGAAGAGGGTTGGCCTATGCCAGCGGAGTGCTCCAAGCTGGGCAACGCGAGTGCTCAGGATTAGAACAGGAAGGCCCCAAGAGTCGCGGCTCCGCTCGACTGTCCCCACAGACCTCAAGCGGGTCCGGATGCTAGACAGCCGGCCCTCCCACTCTACAACTTGGCTTCGGACCTTCGTCCCCACATGCTACTGGAGTTT